TGGAGCACCGCACCCAGAGTGTGGTGGTGGATGGTCCATTTTTGACCTGGAGGGATATGAGCAGTGGGGTTCTGTAGGGCTCGGTCCTTGGGCCTGCACTGTTCAACGTCTTCATTAGGGACTTGGATGAGGGGGTAAAAAGCACTCTGTTCAAATTTGCTGATGACACTAAGATGTGGGGGGATGTGGGCACGTTAGAAGGAAGGAATAGGCTACAATCGGACCTAGACAGGTTACAGGGGTGGGCGGACAAGAATAGGATGGGATTCAACACTGAGAAGTGCAAGGTGATGCACCTGGGGAGGAAGAACCAGCAGCATACCTACAGGCTGGGGAACTCCCTTCTCATCAGTGCAGAGGCAGAAAAGGATCTTGGAGTTATCATTGATGCCAAGATGAATATGGGGAGGCAGTGTGGGGATGCAGTCAGTAAGGCCAATCACACCTTGTCATGCATCCACAGATGCATCTCAAGCAGGTCCAGAGAGGTGATCCTCCCCTTCTATGTGGCACAGGTCAAGCCGCAGCTGGAGCACTACATCCAGTTCTGGGCGCCACACTTCAAGAGGGATGTGGACAGCATGGAGAGGGTCCAGAAGATGGCCACTCACATGATCAGGGGGCAACAGGGCAGGCCCTACAAGGAGAGGCTATGGGACCTGAACTTGTTCAGCCTCCACAAGAGAAGGCTGAGGGGGAATGTAGTGGCCTGTTACAAACTAGTCAGAGGGGACCAGCAGGCACTAGGGGAGTCCCTGTTTCCCCGAGGACTACCAGGAGTGACTAGAAATAACGGTCAGAAGGTGGCAGAGGGTAAATTCAGATTAGACATCAGGAGGCACTACTTCACTGTCAGGGTGGCTAGGATCTGGAACCAACTCCAAGAGAAGAGGTGCTGGCTCCTACCCTGGGGGTCTTTAAGACAAGGCTAGACAAACACCTTGCTGGGGTCATTTGACCCCAGTACTCTTTCCTGCCATGGCAGGGGGTCGGGCTTGATGATCTGCTCAGGTCCCTTCTGACCCTACTAACTATGAAACTATAAGAATAGGCAGCTGCGATTCATGAAGTATATATTGAAGGTTAGGCCCTGCAGGCCAATAAGACCGTCTCTGCAAATGTATGTGGGTCCTCAACTGTTGGGGAACTGGCCTGAAGGACATCTGGTATCCGTCAAGGCAGGGTGTAAGGGCAAGGTAGAGGGGAGGTGGAGCCTCACAGAAAATCTCCAGATAGTTGTCCTGTAGTAGAGAGACCCCTGGTGGTCAGTCACCCACCACTGGAACAAGATCCGGTAGTTGTGGCAGGAGATATTGGGGAAAGACTATACCGGAGGGAGACACCCACTTGGTGGAACATCTGGAAATGAGCAATGGCGCATCACCAGACAAAGTACTTAGGATTCCTAGTGGGACAAGGAACCATCAGACCACTAGCCGATAAAGTGGAGGCCATTCATAAGTTCCAAGCCCCCCAAACGCCAAGGCAACTCTGGTCTTTTCTGGGCCTAGTTAATTACTACCGCCACTTTGTGCCCCATTTCTCGGAATTAGCGGCCTCACTGAGGCCTCTCTTAATGTCTCAGTGTTTTTTTGTTGTTGTTTGTATTTTATGTTTCCTACTAGTGGAGGGGTTGTGATGCAAGGTGTGTGGAGCCCGAGTGTTGTTTAAACCTAAAGGTGGTTTACAGCCCCAGGGAAGAATAGGCAGCTGCGAGGCATGGAGTGTATATTGAGGGTTAGGCCCTGCAGGCTGATAAGACTGTCTCTGCAAATGTATGTGAGGCCTGAACAGTTGGGGAACTGGCTTGAAGGACATCTGGAATCCATCAAGGCAGGGTGTAAGGGTGAGGTAGAGGGGAGGTGGAGCCTTGCAGAAGATCACAAGACAGTTGTCCCATAGTCGAGAGACCCCCGGTGGTCAGACACCCACCACTTGAACAAGATCCTAAGTCGTGGCAGGGAAGATTGAGGAAAGACTACACTGGAGGGAGACACCCACTCGGCCAGACATCCGGGACAGACAGACAAACACCACCGAACATCTGGGCCCAAGCAGCACGTGACCAGCTGTTCGAGGCCAGATGGGCACAATGTGCTTAGTCAATACAGGAAACAAAAATGGCCAGGTACAGACATGACACTCTTAACAGTATAAGTGATCAGAAACCAGTCTACTCATAACAGAACAGAAGGTCAGCATACATAGACTGGTGTAAACATGGCAGAACTTGGTCTAAGATTTGCCCTCACCTCCTCTCCCCCACTGAAGGTTGAATGTATGTTCTGCTCACTACTGATGCCACTTACAGAAAACCATGTACAGTAAAAGCTATGTTATCTGGCACCTTACAAACTGGCATGCTATTAACTGGCATGCTGGCTTGTAAGGTAGAAGCAAAACTGGAAGTGCCCACCACAGAACTTTTGGTTTCACTGAGCCCCCATGGCCCGGGGGGAAAACAGCCTCTGCTACCGAGCCCCCATGGCCTGGGGCATAGCAGCCTATGTGGGACCTGCCTTCTTGTTCCTTGGGGTCCGTGGGACCCGACAGAGGGACGGTGATGTGGCGGGAGGTGCCCCAGATCCGGCAGGAGAGGCAACAACTCAAACAGGCAAAGACGCCTGTTCAGGCCTCTCAGTTAAGCAGCATATTTTGTTATCCAGCACCTGCCCCCCCGCCCCCCTCCCCCATTCCCCATGGGTGCCAGATAACAAAGCTTTTGCTGTAACTTAGATTGATTCTGCCTTGGGTTTTTAGAATGTCTGTACCTCCCCACAAAGTCTAAGTTTTTCTTTACTTCAGGATTCCCAGTATTTTGTCATTTTTTTTACTTTTGAATTTCAATTCCTTGGGGCATGGTTTGTCTTCAATTACTGATATTTAACAAAATGTAAATATTTGTAAATCAAATATTACTATTTGTAAATGTAAATACCACTCTTTAAAAATAAATAGTCTGCAGTATTTTTAATGCTGTGCATTACCATTACTTTCAACTACCCATTTTCTCTTCTCAAGGTTGAATTTGTTCTGAAAATGACGAAGTTGCAAGGTTTTCACTATTTACCTTATTACCATAGTCTAGATGAAAATACTACCCCATCTTCTGCCAGCATTCATCCCAGTATAAGGGAGAAGTGGATGTAACATGCTACCAGATAAGAATCTGAGCTTTTTACACCTACTTTGCACTGTTGTAAGTAATGATAAGAGGTACTGGACAGCAGTGAATCAAGCTTTAAGGGTGAGTCCTTCTGTGTTACACAGATCTAGGGAGAGCTACTATGAAGACACACCTGTGCACTTGCTCCTGTTGCATAGGTACACCATGATGGAAAAATGTTGCAGAACCACAATTAGAGTGAAGATGGAAGTGCCCTAGGCATGTACCAAAAAGTAGATACATGACATTTTTTCAAACCATGTTGCATAAGGAATGCAAGTATGTGGGGCATGTTTTCAAAGCTAATGCAATGGTGACATTTTCTTTTGAAAATGAAAGACCACTTAGACTCTTAGCAATTTATTTGGATTCCTTTGCTATCTGTCATAGGAAATAAATGAAATGACACAAATCTTTTTTTTTTTTTTAGAAGTGGATAAATCGGACAAATGTTTTCCATAAAAATGGTGACATTTTTAAACAATTTCCACAATTCATGCTAGTCTTTCTTTGACATTTTCTTCCCAAGAATCCTGTTCTGGAGGACTTCAGGGAAAGCACATTTCAAAGTGTTTTGCACAAACATTAAAAAAAGCAAATATTAATTTTCACTGCCAAAAGGGCTTAAAGAACTTATCCAATAAAGGAATAGTATCATACAGCATGTGGAGTACATGACCAATCATAAAAATCAGCTGGGAACTGATCCTACAAAGATTTATGATGATGCAAATCGTTAAGCATTCAGAAAAGTCTCCATGGGGATAATTACGAGGAATAGAGTTAAGTATGCAAAAATGTCTTTGCAGGATCAGGGCCTGACTCAGTTCAGGTCCTGAATATTGAACTATTTGCTAGCAGGCCAGAGAGGTACAACATTTTGCAGACATTGCACTGAATATTTTTGAATAATGAATATGCTAGAAAAAGAATCAAGATAATATGAATATTTCACAAGGAAAACAATAAGCTAAAAACACTGATTAAATGATTTGCAACTATTTATTTATTCAAATCTACCTTTACAGAAGGTGCTTGTGTGTTTTTTAACCCTTGGCCTTTCTACAACTATATTCAGTGTCTCTACTACTACATACTTGCCTCTTCAAAAAGGTCAGCCTACCCACATATCTTTATCCCCTTCTGATAGCTTGATACTCCCAATACTATATTTTGAAACAACTTGTGCACTCTGTGTTTCATCATTATTATGAAAACGTTAGATTCCTGTAAGACTAAAAGAAATGAAGATGATTTTTTCTCCATACAAAATGGGTGAGATTTGTATTTTGCTCAAATGCAGTTCTGCCTTTCGGGAAACATATTTAGGAGTTACCTTTGCTTTGTGCAGTGCTTTTTCTGCAGTGACAGCAGGCAGTGGTTTAGTAGCAATTTTATAATCTAGCATTATAGTACATTATGTACAATACAATGGGGCTTTGCAGAGCCACGTCTCTTAAGAAGCAGAGGATATATGTAGTTTGCTCACTGCAGGTTGTAGCAACTTTCTTTTGATGGCCATCTTTCATGAGTCTTCACCATCAGGCAAACATTCAGCTTCTCTTTAACAAGTTAAAAAAAAGGTTCAGGAAAAGTAATAAACCAAACACATTTTTAAATATGATAACATTTTCACCTATGAAATACTCAAGTTCTTATTGCTTTTCATTCACTCCTTACGTTATATATATAATTCTGTGTGAAATGCTACAAGAACATAAGAACCTTTTTAGTTATATTTTACTTCATATTTTTCTTTCTAACATGCCTTATTTTATTTTTACTCTCATTTGAGCAAAAACAATTGTAAAAGGTAAGCCTTTTCACCACACTATTATTAGTAAAGTTATCTTCCTGTTTTTATTTCATTATCATCCATTAAGCAAATAAAAGGTAAAATACATAATCTAATTTTGTTAATGGAGCTTAATGCAATTCTAGGACTATAAATACATAAATAAACATGACAAAAATATAATAAGGTTACTACAAAGTACATTTCAGAAAACAGTTAAAAGTGCAAAAAGGCCGTAAAATAAAGCACAAGGATAAGCAACCAGAAGCTGCTGTCTTTCCATGGCCAATGCAGATGTAAAAATTTTGGAAGCTGAAAGACTGCACCATCCAACAATAATCAGAGCTAGCAATGTTCCTAGTATCCCCCTACCAAGGAAAAAAAAAAAGAAAAAATGAGTCCACTGGTTATTATGTATTGAAGGAAATCTTATCAAACCCTAGCTCATGTTTAGTTTGCTGTTATTAAGGCTGTTGTCACTGGTAAAAGTGAGGAATGACTTATGTAATGAAAGTCAAGGGCAAGGTACAAATTAAAATACAACATCAAGCAAAAAGCTATTTCTTCATTTTGGATGAAAATAGCAGCTGCATCAAATGTATTACTTGGAAGACCAGAAAGCTTCAAGCTAATTTGCCTGGGGCTGTGAGAAAAACAACACTGTGAGCTTTTTAATTCCAAAAGTGAGCAGAAGTCCCCTAGCAGCCAAAATAAACATGCATGAGATGCTGTGATTTAAACAATGCTACAGATTTGCTGTTTTCACCGGGGCAGCCTGATGGTCTAGAGGCAGTGCATTTTGTTTTGTATGGCAGGAACAGGAACATACTCGGACCTTGAGGGAGACAGAGCCTTGTATCACTCAGGAATTACGTCTCTGCTGGACACACAGAAGGGTGTTGACAGGCTCTAGGGTGAGACCCACTGTGATGAATGACCTTTTCAAAGGATGTACTTTGGGAGAATGTAACAGAGAAAAAAAAATCACCAAAGCCCACATCCTACAAAGGCTTTTTTCCTTAATCCTAGGGTCTTCCTCTGGACTAAAAAAAAGAGGAAGAGATAAAATCTATCCTACCCCTTGGTTGACTAAATTGTCTTAGGACCAGTTTTTGCCAGCGCTGCAGGGCAAAGTGGCTACATAGCACCCAAGAATCTGATGCAATGGTCCTGTGAGTGAGCCAGAGTCTGCTGAAAGACTTGCACTGAATCCAAACCATATATGAACAAGGTATTGCAAATAAATAATGTTTCACACATACTCTATTTGCATTTTGCATTTGCAGTCTGCTTCTGTAAAATGTATGAGCTCATTCACATAATCTGTTGTCGAAGTACATAATAAGATGGCTGTGTTACACACTTTCCCTGTGTCAATCTCAAGGACTTTCAGGATAAATGGAGCTCTGCCACTTACTGAATGGTTGTGTTAACTCCATTCTTCAAACGTATCAACGGAATAAAACCAAACATAAAAAGTACATCAGACATATTTACTTATCCTTATCTATCACAAATAATCTTGACTAAATTAGTTTGCTAACTAAACTGGCATAATGAAACCTATTTATTTAATTTATTTATTTTTGTTAGTGTAATCAAATAAGTTCACACTTTATTTCTTGGAAATGTAGTTCCAAATCCCATAAGGTACTCAGCACCTTCAGTTCCTGAGCACTGCAACAAAATTTAAGGACACTCGGTGCCTCATGTGGTTTAACTCATAAAAAAAGAAGCCAAGCATGATAGTATATCCTCAGTCTAAATGCTACTTTAACCCTTCACCTTGATTTTCCACATTCAGAACTATCTAGCTTCCTGGATCCTGCTTTGGACTGAGAAGCAAGGAAGGTGGCATAGCCAGCTGGAAATTCATGGTTTGTATAGAGGAAAAAGATGTAGCAGGAGCATACTATATAATGGCAATTCCCAGCTAATGTAACTTTTCAGGGGACTGTTATAAGGTGTGGTTGATGTGTCTTGTAGTGTGGGCCAAATTTTGGCACCAGGACTGATAATGAATGGAATAGCAAGGTAGCATTAAGTCATCCTTCACCTGAAGAGTCAAGAGATGCTTCAGTGTAGACAGAAAGGTGCAATGAAAGTGCCATGTATATGATTCCCTGAAGAACTAGACAAGTGAGGGCATCTTTACACATGTTCTGGGGTGGGGAAGGAAGTGGGGGGAGCACTCTCTGGAGACACTAATTAAAGCACCCACAGCATCTCAGGTGTTCAGCTTCCTACACTTCAAAATGGCAGCAGGGACACCAATAAAGCTTATTCAATGAGCTTCAGTTAAAGCATTCCCGCCATCATTTTGAACCATGGGGATGCTGAATACACAACATTGAAGCTGCTGGAGCATGCTAATTAGCACGCTCCACCAGACTTGATTAGCCCACGTTGGAACTGGTTCATAGATGTTTAGGGTGGGAAGGGAGCCGAGTAGACCATTGAGTTTGACCCCCTGCCCTGGGCAGGAAAGAGCACTGGGGCCAGGTGACTCTAGCCTGGTGCTTGTCCAGTCTCCTCTTAAAGACCCTCAAGACAGGGGAGAGCACCACCTGCCTTGGAAAGCCATTCCAGATTCTGGTCACCCTTACTGTAAAGAAGTCCTTCCTGATGTCTAACTTAAATCTGCTCTCTGTCAGTTTGTGGCCATTGTTTCTAGTAATTCCAGGGGGTGCCCTGGTAAACAGAGCGTCTCCTATTCCTTGCTGTCCTCCTGTGACGAATTTGTAGACAGCCACTAGATCCCCCCTCAGCCTTTTCTTGCGGAGGCTGAAGAGATCCAGGTCCCTCAATCTCTCCTCACAGGACTTTACCTGCAGCCCCCTAACCATTCAAGTGGCCCTCCTCTGGATCCTCTCAAGGTTTTCCACATCCTTCTTGAAGTGCAGCACCCAAAACTGAATGTAATACTCCAGCTGTGGCTTTACCAATGCTGTACAGAAATGTATAACAGCTGGCTGCAGCTGCTAATTAGCACACTCCAGCAGCCTGAGCAGCCCATGTCGGGCATGTGGATATGTACCGTGAGAGCCTACTGAGGCATTTGAGTGCCGGGGTGCTCAGCTTGAATGTGGCAGTCTACACAGAAACACTGAAGGCTGGGTGACAGCTGGGGGAACTAGTAACAGATTCATAGTCTGGATCTGTGGACAGCATGGATTTACCAACTTGGAGCCCAAAGGTAGAGGGTCTTGCAGGCCAAGTCCACTGTTCATTCACACAGCCCATAGGCATGCTCACAACAATATCTTTGCATCAGCTGCTTCAATCTAGGATTTAGGATTCCAGTCCACTGCCCTATATTCATTTCCCTTCTTGTGCATCCCAAGTAAAAGAGGTGACCTTTCTGTTCTGGGATTTGGGGGTTTCCTGAAAGAAAAAGATAAGTCTGCAGACTGTTCTTCCAAGTCCATTCTGACCAGAAACTAATTCCCTTAGAATAATTGTCTAATCAGCTTGTCACAAAGCATAATACCCTCAGAGACTGGCATAACCAGAGCTTTGGAAAATACAGTTTTGTTTCACAAAATATTGGCATCCAAATATTGGCCAATCCTTTTGTACCATCTTGTTTCCTTCTTTAAATACTTCATCACCAACAATTAAAATGACGTGGCTGTTTTTCCCAAAAATCAAAATGCGGAAAAGAGGTATATTTTTCACATGTTTATGACAACAGCTTTCTTTGCTAAGAGCATCGCTTGATTTTAGTTAGAAGACAATCTGTTTGTGTTACATGTTTTTGGACATCACTTTTCGTACCCCAAGAAGAGGGAGGAAGGGAGAGCACTGGCTCCCTGATAGTCCAAGAAGGAAAGCTCTATGTAGGGAGTCTGGTGCAGATCCTGCACAGGAAAATTCCCCACCTTTCCACCACGGGAGGAGCATTCTCCTTCTGTAGTGGGAACCTTCCCAGAGTCCCAGGAAGGTTGCCTCCTGGGGAGAAGGCTCCCCACATGCCTGCGCTTTTCCCAGTGCACCTGGAGTGTGGGTGTGTGGGTATGTGATTGGGGGGAAGCATGCAGCTACAGAACAGTCCTCTGCCCCCAATACATGCATTCCCATTCCTCCATGTGAGAGGTAGGGGACAGCTGTGCAGCAGCTGCAAGTCTCCACAAGTTTGGAAAGGCTTGCTGCTGCTGGAGAATGGTCCCCTGCCCCTTCGTGCTGCTCTTTTCCATCTGAAGGAGTGCATGGAGTCAGGGCTATTCTCCTGACACGGAAACCAGGAGGCTTCCTGCCCAATCCGCTGTTTGACAGGATGATTGGGGGGGGGGGCTTCTCCAGGGGGGTAAATCCTCCTTGAGCTGTCTGTGGCAACTGCTGCTTTTCAGCAACTGGCAACTGCCAATTGACAGCCTGCTCTCTTTCCATCCAGGGTATCAATTAATAGGCTCCCCCAAGAGAGAGGGTGGCCCAGACAGCAGCACTCTAGTGCCTGTTGGCTAAAGAGCTGGCCTGTGGAGCTCTTCAGCCAGGGGCCTGTATCATAGGTAACCTCCAGCTCTCAGGCTATTTTTCAACCAGTTTCCAAGAAATTCTTACTAGTAGAAATGAGCTGCTGTCCATGGTCTTAGTATGTATAGCAGTTCCCATGCTAAGTAAAGCAGCACAAGATTAAATCAGTATCAGGAGAATTCTTTGAGAAATTTATTTCAGATAACATCAGCAAGGTTTTAAGAGTTACCTACAAATTTCTCCAGAAAGAGTTACTCTACAAAGTATTTATGGGCTTTTAAAAGTGTGAACTTGCAGTAGTTTTACAGCATATTACAAATGTACTGTATTCACTTAGGGACTGTCTGATACAAACAATAGCACCCTGATCAAATGTAACAGCTGTTTTGGAGCTAAACCCATCTGTCCTGTAACTGCATATGTGCACCTTTTATAAATGTGTATTAAATAGGGTAACCAAGTAAATACACATTTTGTAGAAACAACAGAGAGTGAGTGGCTCCTTCAGTGCTTTTATTGGCTGTCATGTCAGAGAGAGCTTAGAAACACTTTAATACATGGATCATTGCCAGGCTAGACCATAATAGCTCCATGGAAACGTGAAGCAAGTGGACTAATTCAGTGTGCTAAAATCCTTATGCCAGCAAAAGATGCTGAAAAACAGTATTTATACACAACTACTGCTCTTCTAAATAAAATAAGTAGGGGCAGCTATTCAATTTCCAGCTGCATTCTACTCAGTATGCAAGGCACATCCCACACCTTATGGACTAGTAGCTCACAAAAATATTAGTTAAAATCTCTCCTTCAAATTTCTGAAGCAGGGAGCTGTTATCTATTACATGCACTGCAATGCTGCCCCAGGGCTATAATCAGGTGTTAGGTCTCCTTCTATTTGGCAGAGTACAAATGTGGAGGCATAGTCTGTACCTCAAAGAGCTCACAGTTTAAGAGGAAGGAAGGAAAAAAACTGAATATACAGATGTTTTCTATACATACATATTTAGCTACATGCACATACAAACTTCTATATAAATGTTTAGTTACATTTACTATTTCAAATTACATTTTTGATCTGAAATTACAGTTTCTTAATTACAATAATAAATGGATTTGGGATTGTTAGCATTTCCCTGCCACCACCTTGCTTACTGTCCCTTAGTCTAGTAATGAAGAGTTGACTGATTTCTTGTAGATGTTACAACAGAAATTGAGAAGAAACAGGAATTAAGAGAGTTGTTACTGAAGGACGATGTAATGACACAACCATTTATATAAATCCATTTAAAATACGAAACCAGGATTCAAACCACTACTGGGTCTGGATTTACACAGCAGCAAACAGAAAAAGGGGGTTCTCTGAAATCAAAGCCACTCTCAGTTGTGACTGACTGTCAAAAAGAGGGGTCCCCATACACTGGATTCAAATTTACCAAACTTTGGGGTCACATACCTAAACCCCTCTGGGCAATTCTAGAACCCAAATCACCTCTGTCTTCGTTTTGTCTATCTCTACATAGAAACAGCAATCTTCCTTTTTTTGTTCATTCCAGTATGGATATTTTTCTTTACATTTTTGAAGGCAAAAATTACCCCAAATCTTAAATGGAAATGCTTCATATAATACTGCACTTCTTAATTACTGTAATCCTTCTGGATTCTGTCATATATGCTGATACTTACTGTAGTGAGAAGAAGATTGCACAGCTGGACAGAATCACCATGGGTAGCAAGCAGTAGCCCAATACACTTACAACACAGCCATATGAGACTCCTGCTAGGCTCATCAGGTTCAATAAAGCATGTATTCCTTGGCATCCGATAGCACTCATACCAAACACATAGCCAAAGTGAGCTTTTCCTGCCTGAAATAAATATGAGTCAGTACCAAACAACATCATCATACTACTAATTATGAAACACTAGGAGAAAACAGAATATAAGGACTAGGCCTGGTCTACTTTTGGCTTACACAGTTTGACATTTACAGGCCAGGTACAGACATTTCCCTTTTACTAGTATAAGTGATTGGAAAATAATCTATACCCATAACAGAAGTTCAGCACACAAGACTAGCCTATGCCTGTAACGTAACAGAAGTTCAGCACACATAGACTGGTTTAAAAATGGCAGAACCTCAGTCTAAGATCTGCTCCCCCCGCCCCCCAAGGGCAAATATGTGTTCTGTTCACTACCAATCTAAACTATGCCACTTAAAGAAAACTGCATAACTTAGATCAATTCTGCCTCAGGCTTTTTGAATGTCTGTACCTAGCCAAAGTCTACTGACTTTAATTATTCCAGTTTAAGTGCAATCAGAATCCAAGCCAGTATTTTACAAGATTTTATTTCAGATCAAAACATCCCAAAAGAAAAAATGTCATATTTGTTTTAAATTCACAGGGATATAGAGCCTGCTTTTGAATTGCCTTCTGTTAGTCAGACTCCAAGAGACAGGGATTATTTAGGTGACCTCACTAGCACTAGTGAGATAAAATTAAAGACCTGAAAATTTGGACTGAATATCAGAAAAATAGACAAATAGAGTGAGGCTGTAGAAAAGTCTGCCACGAAAATAAGTGGAAGCTCCATTACTTGAGACATTTCATGTTAGATTGGACACTGGGAATGAAGAAATGCTTTTTGTAGTTATATAGATATCTATTTTGTAAACTAGAAAAGCCATGATCTTAGTAGAGATAAATACTTCTATTTACTTTTCATACTGAACCATGGACCCCAGCCAGACATTTCTAGTATATATTTTTGTTACTAAGCCCAATTACTAACTAAGCTCATCAAAAGTAAGTGAACCTTTTGTGAACTTTTAGGCTCAGTACAGACATTCAAAAAGCCGGAGGTGGAATTGATCTAAGTTACACAGTTTTCTGTAAGCAGTCTAGCTTAGACTGGTAGCAAACAACAAATTCACCCTTTGGTGGGGAGAGGAGGAAGAACAGAAGGGGGATAGGACAAGTCTTAGACTGGGTTTTGCCATTTTTGAACAAGTCTGTGCGTGCTGAATTTCTGTTGTTATGGGTATAGACCAGTTTCTGATCACTTATACCAGTAAAAGTGTTATGTGAACCTGGCCGTATTGATTTTCATAGTGAATTCCTTCCTCATGTGTAAGTCAAAAGGTGCCCCTGAATCTAAACTCAGCATGTGTGCCGCTGCCGCATCACTGTGGTCGGCTTCATGTAACATGTTAATTTCTACATTAACCTTTCTAGTAACTGTCAGGTCATGTTCTTTTTTTTTTTTGCTCCACTTAAAGAGTGATTTTCCTTCCTCTTTTTTAGACTTTTTCTTTTGTCTGAATTTAATGCTTGTGAAAGGTACCAGCCTGACAGCTCTGGAGACTGATGTCTTCTAATTTATCCACAAAGCAAGTACAATACAGGCAGCAGTGGCAATAGCACAGATTTCCTCACATTGCTCCGGCCCCAATTTAGAGAAATCACCTCTAGACATAAGAGGGTTAGTTCATTTCCCATTGAATCTGTGGTCTCTCTTAAGCTACTAGGAAGTGAATTACTGAATACCAACTGTGAGGATAATACTGTGATTTTGACACCCACACATTTGAAAGGAAATATAGTTCAGAGATGAAGACTGTAGTCAAACTTCTACAAAAAGAGAGAAGCTCATCAAGGCAGAGCTTCTTCAGGGGCTGGCTGAAGACTGTGAAAAAGCTCCCATAGAAATAAGTGCCACCAAACCTCACCTGCTTCCTTGTCATTGTAAGGTGAATTTTGTTGCTGTTATCTTCTTTCATCATAATAAATACATGTTGCTATAGGGGGTGTGTGTGTGTGTGTGTGTGTGTGTGTGTGTGTGTACGTACGTACGTACAGACACAGACAAAGACACATAGTAAAATAAAATAAAAAAACATACCATTTTATATGCCCTTCCTCCACGAGGAGAACAATCAGAGACAGATGCATCTGATCAGACTCTAGAGTTCTTATAGTAAGTTTAATTAGAAATTCAGAATAAAAATGATTAGGCAAGTACTGTTTCACCTATGGATATTAAGGAACAGAATCTTTCTATATACAGGGCTTATACAGTCCTCATTTCAAGGTGTCTGAGCATTTCACAATCTTTAATTCATTTAACCTCACAACACTCTTCCCAGGTAGTGCTACTGCCTCAGAAGACTGAGGCGATAGAACATAGCTAAATGTCTTGCCCAAGATCACACAAGAAGTTTGAGTTGGAAAAGGTTACTGAAACCAGGTTTTTCAAGTCTCAGTCTAGCATTCAAACCAATACTCATCTCAGTTTGTGTCTTTTAAACCAGTGCAACCTCACTGAACTTAATGAGTTAACTTGGAGGTAATTGACAGCTTAGGGCTTTAAATTTCTGAAAAAAAATATCTGCTTGGCAACATAAAAAGTCATATTTCTTAGGCACAAACTCCCCTGCTGGCATTCAAAATACTGGGAACCTCTAAAGAATTAATGAAAGCTGCTTCATTAAAGAAAATTAACGAGAACTAGCAATATTGAGGGAAAATACTACTACATCAGACTACTAACTACAGTCACAGTCATTAGAGGGTTTTAATAGATTTAACATTTTCAGTTGCTGGGGCAGTATTTCCTTTAGAACAACTAACAGATGTTGTATCCTAAATAGACACAACAACCACCAGCAGCTAATATTTTACATTGTTTGTTTCAGAACATTTAATTAATTGACGGAGCTCTACTTAGCAGCTTAATCTAAGATTAACAAATTATGGAGGCAGCAACAAAGGAAAAGAGCATAGCAGCTCAACGAAAATTTGGTGTACTGTTTGATATGCATGGAATTTATGCTAGGTGCAGTTCAGCGGGGAAAAAGGAGGTTGTAAATTAACACAATATTCCCAATGTCTTTTTCACCTGCTCCATGTAACACTATTGATTTCCAATCTATGGTGATATATGCAAAATCAGAGTGGGCCCTCATTATTTTGGCAGAATGGGAATGGATGTGTACTAAAGTGATAGCACTAAGTATTCTTGCAGAAATAATAAAATTGAAGTAAAGTATCAGTTCTGACCCTGGCCCAAACCCAGGACAAGGATCCAGAGGCAGAACTACTGCTGCCACTGTTGCTGCTACCGCTGCTGCCTGGCTATGGCTGAGGTCAGAGCCACAATGTGCTTTGTGCCTAAGGCCCAATGCAGAGCTGCTGCAGTGAGTAGGTGGCTTCAGGAGGGACAAGGGGCTGGGGGAACAGGCACAGGGGACACAAATGCTAGGGAGGCAGGTGGCAGTGGGACAGGCATCAAGGAGGGCAAGTGGCAGGGGGACAGGTGGCTGCAGGGTAGATGTCAGGGGGCACAGGAACTGTGTAGCAGAGGGGCAAGGGACAGGCCTCCAGCCCCTGATTTCCCCACTGTAGTGGTGTTAGGGATGAATTTAAGATAACCATCCAATAATTAGATTCTATATGTGGAAAATTATAAGAAATTTATAATTTTCCATGCATAGGATGTAATTATGGGGGGCGGGGAAGGAGAGGGGAGAGGGGTTGTCTTAAATTTGAAGTCATCTTGTATTTGGGCAAAGATGGTATTTTGTTTTTTCATTTACTCCAGTACAAAGTGTATGCAAATGCTACCAGTGATGTATGTGCATGGTGAAGTATGATTTGGTAACACCTACTTTGCATAGAAAACTAATTACAAAATATGCGGGACAGTAGACTCATGTCCCCAACCCTAATGCTGCTCTCTGCTCTCCATTAAAAACTAATTTAATGGACACTGTTATTATTGCATCTGCAGTGCTGTTGCCCTAATTAATAACATGAGAGTGGAATCAGGCCTTGCTCCCATGCTCCAAATCCTTACTGTTCTCTTCTTCCCTGTCTTATCGTGCTTCAAAATAACTGCTACCAATATTTCTGCACATTTCTGAAGTATTTCTGAAATATTCTGAAGAATATTTCTGCATATTTTTCCATAGTAAAGAACTTGAAACAAAATGTAATTTATAATTTCTTTTCTGAAAAAATGCCTTCAGCCAAATTGTATTACTAGTGCTATTAGAAGAGAATTATTCAATACCAAAGTGTATCTTAGCTTTCGAGGCTAAAAAGCTAGCCTGATATCAAATATCAGTGCAAAAACAAGGTAAATCCGAAGAGTAAGATGGCACTTAAAGTCCTGTATTCCAATTGGTAAAAAGTTATATTAGCGAACTAACACAATCACATGGGTTTTAATTGTTTTTATTCACTGAGCCATTAGGCATGATTCACCATTGAATTGCTGAATTTTATGGACATAGTGGACTTGTGCAAGCCTAAAACAGCCTCTCTGACATTTCCTCTTATCCTCTCCTTTTCTAAATGCTCCCCAATTTTTTTGAGTATAATAATATAAAGGTAATAACATGTCCCCCCCTTTTCTTGTTTCTCTGGGAAGCAGTGACCTTCTACCTGCCTCTCACTTCCCTTTTCTGGGAGTTTCCTTCTCTCACCCTCACTCTTTTACCTCCTTCCCTTCCAGATTTTCAGTTTATAGTTATTATAATAAAATAATTATATTATAAAATAACACATTTTACACCTCTCCTCAGCTTTGCTATTACAAAGCTATTTCCATAGGGAAAAAAGTGGAAGTACAAAGAAAGAAGGGGAAAAGTGAAGAGAAAAGAGTTATATACATGCCTCTCTTTTGTTTAGGCAAAGAAAATTGAAAAAAAGAGCGTTAGCAAAGTCAACAGAGAAGTAGGGCAGTTTTCGGAAATTAAAGTATTTTAAAGATTTTTTTGGAATGGTTTAGATATAAAAAGTGTTAAGAAATCTTTCCTCTCCTGGCAATAATATCTATAGGTGTTATTTTGGGCTGGAATAATTTAGGCCTTTCCTGTACACATTCTGCAAATGTACAGAACATGAACTGCATAAAATCTCTCTGCCTCTCTTTATATATTATGTCTCTACAAAAAAGTGTGTGCCCTGCCCTTGTCTTTTTATGACAGCAATACATTTTACCTGTGCTAGAACTAAAAACTGTACATTAAAAAAATTATAAATAAATTGTACAGCAGATATGTTCTTATATCCAATCTGAATGCAAGCTGAAGTAAAACATTTAATTTGTACCTGCATAGCATCTACCCAAACTGAACCAGTGTTATTGTACAGGCATGAAAATGCTTAAAGCATTCATAACTTTGCCATACTGTACCAGTAGCAGTGTAGCACCAAGAGCCAAACAGAAAACTGTAGGCCCAGTCACATCTGTCTCATTCATAATGCTGCCATCTGCTGGTTTCATTGGGTTTAGGACAGTTAGTGTTTTTTGCCATATATGATCAAAATTGATCCCAAGTTCTGCAACAGAAAAATTCCATAATTGTTTATTATTTTAAAAGCCTTTTGGTTTTTTTTACAGAAATCACTAGAGACCATGAACCCAAAGTAAGAAAATCAACCTCTTGTCTTCCTAGAGGGTTGAATGCAAGAAAACGTATTCTTTTTTGCAGGAAAGATTCCCTTACCTTTTCATGCATTATATTCAAGATGAATTCCTAATTCAGAATTATGGTAATTAAATTATTAAATTATATTGAATGCAATGGACAAAAAAAATACTATCAACACTATCCCCTTAATGTTTGGTTTTTCAATTGAGAGAGAGACGTAAATACACATTATATACATTTCTAACCTTATTAAATGAGACTTTGAATAATGTGCTAATTAGCAATACCTGCAAAATTCAAGGGATACTGAGGACAGAGATGCATGCTTTAATTCTGGTAAATATGACAGAAGATGTTTCTTAATGCTGAGTTGCTAGAGGCATTTTTAAAAATGACACTTTGCCCATTGAGGAAAAGCAGTAACAACTTGTGCAGCATTTAAGGGACTTTTTACAAATATTCTTATGGAAGCTTTGTAATGGGCAAAATTTTACCCCGCTGAAGTCAATGACTGCAAAAAGACTGCAACTCCCAGGAGCAACATTCCTCCTGTAATGCTCCCACAAAGAGCAAAAACAGTTTTGGAATGAAGCTGCTAGCAGCAGGGAGGGCTCCATTCAGAAAGCAAATGTCCAATTTCTGCACGGTGCCAGCTTATTTTTGGAGCCAACACAAAAACCAGATTATATAGCATACAGCTCTCTACATTGTTTTTAATTATACTGCAATTATACTATATATTTCCAATTATACTTTAATTAGAAGTAGTCTGACCCAAAACCTCAGTTGGTAACATCTCTAGAACTTTGTGGTCAGAACAGTTTTTACTTTAATGTCAGTCTACAGTCCAGCCACCAGGTGAGCTGCATGTGCAGATGGAGATCTAACCTTCTGTGTTCTATTTCCAATAGGCACAAAGTGAGTCTGCTTCCATTGAAGTTAAAGGAAAATGTTCTATTGACTTCAGCAATGTTGTCTGGTTGAATGTAACTAGCATTTACTTTACTAATTATACTAAATCCATTACAAACAAGTCTCCAATTTTAAATCGGATATCTATGTGTTGTTTTTAAATCATCAGTATGTTTGTTAACTAAAGAGTGGCCTGCTAATTGGTTACAAGTATCATGCTTGGAACATAGATTTTTTTACAATTAACCATGTCTTTTTGCAATTAAATGGCCTACCACATGAAAGTATGCAGGTTATGAGACCTTTCTCAAGCTTTCTATTTAAGTGAGCCCTCTTGAGTCTTTTTAACTAGTAAACGTATTACTAGATATGCAAGCAAGATTACAGAAAGTGTTTATAGGTATTTTAAAATGATATCTTATTATGCAATATAAATATATAGAGAAAAACTTTTAAAAGTCTGAATACAAAATTTATTGTTATGCTGTCATCTAGTGGTAATAAAGTATATGATATATGTGCCATAAAAACAAATTAATACTCTTATTTTTTATGCAAATTGTGGCACTTTCTTTTCAAATATAAATATGTACCTATGTTAAAAATACAAAATCAACAAATCAACAATATATTTTTCTGATTTGACAGTCTATGATTATTATTTCTTAAACTACATCGGTAAAGATTTTTATTGTTATTGTCAACTAGCAAGATGTTACATTCCATGTATAAAGTTTACATATGTATACTTTGTAAGCATATGCAAAAAGAAATCTCATTTAATTCTAGGTACGCAAAAACAAGTGTAAATGAAGTGTGGTTTTGTTGTTTGGTTGTGCCCATTTGGAAAGTAGTGTAGGGCTTAATGATGATGGGTGACTTCTAGTTTAAAGTACCTGTCAATATAGGCCATGGTACAAAGGTCTGTTCCTACAGACCAGATTACAGGACCTTGGTCACAGGTCTTTCTAGTCCTCTTAACTTGATCCTAAAACTCCCACTAACTAGGATTTGGAGCTTGCAACAATGCAAGATCAGACTCCTGATACAGCTTCAGTCTTTGGGATGGAGGAATGTCAGATGACTTGTTCTTTAGGGCATAGAACAATTGTGAGTCTTACTATTAGATACAGTGGCTCTGCTGCACAGTAATAATTCTCTAGTCAGTGACATGAGTTAGTGAAAAATATATACACCTAGAAACACGATACGTTAATATTGTTAATAGATTAACTTTTACCTTCTAACAAAGGCGGTTCTTCATCAAAACTGCCAGAAGAATTAGAATGCGATAAAAACTCTGGATTGTAGGTTGGCTGCAAAATCTGGCCTGTGTAATTTTGAAAAGATGGAATTATTTCTGAAGGAACAAATGCAGCAGGTTGAGGCAACTCATCTATTTGGTACCTATAACAATAAGCATAGTCATATATCTGGGTAAGACAGACAATTTATAATAAACTAACTTCACAATAGCTAAGAGTTGCGCATTAATATGGTTACCAGATTGCCTAGACCCTTTTGCTTCTATATGTTACTTGTATTGCATCCCTTCATCATTAACTGTGTATTTCTAACAAGCCCAGTGAATGAGGAAGGAGTCCTCAAGAAAACATAGTCTTTAGTATAATGGTTGCATCTGTATGTGCATTTATGTCGCGTTCAATTTATTGTGCAGTAAGTAACTGTGCAGCAAGCGGAACATAGGCCATCATCTACATGTGCAGGTGTGAAAGCACAATCATGCTGTGTGTGGTCTGATTTGGGACTAAAGTTAGTCCCAAGTCAATCCAAACACACAGTATTACTGCACAGTAAGGCGTCAACACGTGCATTACTGCGCAATAACTAGTCAGGCATAAATTTGATACCTGCAGGATGTCCAAGTCAGCATAAGTCGCCATAGTTACTGTGCAGTAAATGTGCATGTGTATACATGCCCACTGATTACAAAATATGCACACAATGGGGTATGTATGGTTGTGGGGACAATTACAATCTACACATTTGTTAAATACTAAGTTTCACTCTGTAGCCTGACTTCTTATGCGTTTAGTTTTCTAATGGAATAGCTCTACATATATCTGAATGTACAGTTGTATTGAATACAATGTAAAAGTCATTTCAACAAACTAGCAACATGTGCAAATAAAAATCAGTTATAGTCGCACAATGCCCAACCAATTTTCTAATTATAATTATATATTGCATTATAATTCTATAATGCCTGGAGAATCCAAATAAGTTTGAATCCTCAGCCAGTCTAAGCACACTCAAGATTAACTCCAAAGACCTTAAGGAAAGGATTATTATCCCCATGCCACATATGCAGAACAATATGCAGGGAAAATAAGTAACTAATTTAAGGCAAACTGGGAAGCATATAGCAGAACTGGAAGCTGATCTTAACTATTTCCAGTCCACTGCTTCAATCCTAAAATCTTTTTATATAATGGGATTTTCTGCATGGAGATGGCCTTCTCCGTATATCTCCTCCATCTTGGGCTGAGTGGAGGAATCATCCCTCCCTGTCTGCTGTGCTGTTTGTTATACATGGCTGAGGAAATGATTGGCTGAAGGCAGAAGAGAAGTACTTACTTTTGGCATGTGTATCATTCCCTTCAGAGATCACCAGAAATGTAATGTAATTTCTATTTGAGGAGACTTTGAGTAGCTGGGGTGTCTATCCCATAAGCAGGATGGTTTCAGGGACCTCAGTAGATTCATGTTGTCATTAGGGCCAAAGTGGTGAAAATTACCACTGAATTGAGTTGGTTTTCCCCAGAGCACTTCTTATCTAAAAATGTTGGGAGTGGAGCTGTTACCTATTCCCTGAGTATGGGAGAGAATGGCAGAATTCAACTGCCATCCCCAAATAATTTTTTTGAAAATTTCTTTATGGGAACCACTCAGTGCTTTCCTCCTCCTAATGCCACTTCCTCCAAAAAAATTAAGAGTCCCACACATGTAAAAAATCCAAACAACATAAAACTTTTGGTCTCTGTCTCTAGTGCTACTTTATATTATTCTCTTCACATAAAACTTTAAATTCAGTTGAACATATCTCTTTTCCAACAATTTAACACTGTAGTTTGTTAATTTGATGTTGAATTTAAAAAAATAAAAATCAGTATTTGCCTTCTATCTTTCTACTTACTTTCTGTTTCCATAAAGATTTTCATTGGCCTCAGAATGATTGTATCCTGGTTCTTGATTATCAATGGTATAGCTGGACTGGTAAAAGTCTGAATGAAATTGTTCAAAGTTTGACATTCTGGGGAAAATGATTTAGAATACTGATGAAATAATGCTAGACAAAGTAAATCATTATTTTTGAAAAGTTATAACCCAAAAGAAAAAAAAGAAAACTACAGAATTGCAGGCTTAAAAAGATTTCTTTTCTCTAAATGAGCTTATGCCAATTTGAAGTGGCAGAAATAAACTCAATTAGTTTTTCTTTAGTATAACTATAAAATAATGTCTCATCTGTTATCATACATGCTATAGATGCTATTTTTTCAAAACAAAGACTAAAAACCTACTCTTAAGCCTTACCTGACTTCTTGACACAACTATTAGTCATTCTTGATAGATATTCCCAGTAAATTCTTGTTGAGAGAAAATTATATTCCATTTTAAAATAAAGCTATGGCCAAATTCAAGCGAGTGATACTAATTAGTAGATAAGCTATATCCTCTGCAGAAAAGGACCTGGGGGTTACAGTGGACATTAAGCTGAATACAAGCCAACAGTGGGCATATCTACATGATATGCTTTGAGCTCAGTAGACCAATTCTACTGCACATTAGTGTGGCAGGTAAAACTTGTGCTAATGCACAGTAGATTTAGTCATTGTGCATTAATGTGACAAAAAACCCAAAAATGTTCGTTTGCACTAATGCACAATGCCAATTACAGCACATTAAGTTGGTACCTGTCATTACAGGTACTAAATTTAATGCATCATAATTACAGCAGATTAACAAAAACATAGTGTGCCTTTGTTGCCAAGAAGGTTAGCAGCATACTGAGCTGCACTGGTAGGAGTATTGTCAGTAGATCAAGGGAAGTGATTATTCCCTTCTATTCAGTACTGTTGAGGCCACATCTGGAGTATTGTGTCCAGATTTGGGCTGCCCACTACAGAAAGGATGCGGACAAATTGGAGAGTCCAGAGGAGGGCAACAGAAATGGGTAGGGGCTGGGGCACATGACTTCTGAGGAGAGGTTGAGGGAATTGGGCTTATTTAGTCTACAAAAGAGGAAAAAGACTGAGAGGGGATTTAATAGCAGCCTTCAGCTACCTGAAGGGTGGTTCTCGGTGGCAGATACAGAACAAGGAGCCGTGGTTTCAATTTGCAGCAAGGGAATTTTAGATTAGATATTAGTTTAGGTTAAATATTAGGAATAACTCTCTCTAGGAGGGTAGTAAAACACTAGAATCTCCATCTGTGGCGAAGTGGGAGCTCTCCAACCAGCCACAATGCTGGTCTCCCTGCCTCTCTCTCCTTCCATGCCTCGCTGTTAAGTAATTATGATCTTAAATAAGTAGGAGGCTACCCTGTCTGGGCTCTGGTATCTAGGGCCTTGAATACACACTCCTACCTCCCCTTACATGTCCCATACCTGCCAGATGTTTCTAACAACTGTGTACAGCTGTGGCCTGAGGCTAGGCCCAACTCATTACAGTATTAGGCCTCTCACAATCTGCTCTTTTATGGACCACTCTCATACCGCCTCCCTCTCACTGAGGCCTCTCACAGTCCACCGTCTCTCGCATGGTCTCTCTCATGCTGTCCTTGCTGGGCCTCACTTGTACCACACCTCCTTTTCCCAGGGGCCACACTCACCCTGTCCTATCCTGAAAGGTCCTCAGGCTTGATTCCCTTCACTCCCCAGCCAGCAAGCACGCGGCCTTTTGGGCTTCTCCCACTGTCCTCATCTGAATGAGCGCTGGGCAGCTTGCCAAATACTGTACAGACTCTGTACAGGCTCTGCCCCTGTCTCGTAGCTAGGTAACTTCCCCCAGCTGCTCTCCATACAGGGCTGCTGACTCACCCCCTTATTTCTCCACAGCTTCTCCTCTGTCACCTTCCAATTGGCCTCAGGCACCTGAAGGCTTATCTGGACTTAATTTAGTCCCCCAAGTTAACAGGACCTCAACTTGAGCCCTATTTCTCTCACAGGGCATCAACTCATGCCCCTTCCTTGCAGGGACTCAACTGGTTCTATTACTCAGATGCAGCCCTTCAGGTGCCTCTCTGCACCTTCACTTTCCCTGAGGTACATACTCCACCCTTTTCTCTGGGACCTGAAGCTGAAAACCCCTGTACGCTCAGGTGCCCCTCATTGGTGTGCCTGGCCCACAACTCTCCTTCTCTTCCCAGGGTCTTACTCCCCATTGGCTTCAGATGGCCATAGCCATGCCTGGCCCCATTACACATTCTGCAGGGCCTTGCCCCCACTGGGCGCTGGTCCTCCACCTAGGCATGCATGGCCCTAACTACCTCTGATGTTGTATTACCTGCCCTAAAGCAGGGGCTTGGGTTATTAAGGTGCCCCTCCTCACCTTTCACTGGGACAGTAACTGGTCTGGCACTTCTTGAGGGCTGCTACACCACTAGGAGCCCCACCAGACCACCTGTCCCCAGGAGGGTGCAGTTTCAAGTCACACCCAAGACCAGGAGCCTCTAAGCCACACCATAGCTCCTGCCCTTACCTGCATGTTGTCTCTGGAGCAGCAGCTCCGCTGGGAAATTTTCCTTCCCCTGTGCCAGGCAGCAACTGCTGCCCCCATCCCTGCTGGCCTGAGGCTCAAGATGGCCACTCATCAGGACTGGCCTGTACCTGCCTGCTGCCTGGCCCAGTTCTTAAAGTGGCAGAGTACCATGAGTGCTCTGACACCCACCTTCCCCCTTAAAATGGTTCCTGGGGAGGGCTTTCCCTGATGCTCATTCAACAAGCTCTTACAGAGCTTGCAACATCCCCAAGGGGTGAGTACCCCACTGGTGCTCTGCCACACACCTTCCCCCTTTAAATCACTCTATGGGGTTTTATCTGGCTACATTCCCTGTAGGCCCTTCTCTAGCCTGCTGCAGCCCACCCTATGTGGTGAGCACTCTCGCAGTGATCCACCACACCATCCTTTGAGGATTTTAAGACCTGGGTATACAAAGCCTTGGCTGGGATGATATAGCTGGGAATGGTCCTGCTTTTAGTGGGGGGTTGAACTACATGATCTCCTGAGGTCCCTTCCAACCCTAATTTTCTATGATTCTATTAATCTACTGATTAAAAGAACAGTTATTAGGCATCAAAGCCTTAATTATTCCCAACTATTTATGTTTTGATATGCTACACAAGTATCATAAAGTAACGTACATTTTAACCCTAAAGAAGAGAAAGTTTACACAACTTGGGTTAGGTAATATCTGCTTATCAGTATTGTAACTAGAATACTTAAGTTGCATATTTATTTTGAAATTGTGATCTAAGTGGGACCAAACAATAATCAGATAATAAACTAAATATATAAAAACAATTAGTTGTGCTGGTTTTAAGCCATTTTAACTCTGGATTTACAGCATAGAATCCATTTACACCTTTATTTTATATCTAAATCTAGAATCCTGGCTTGAAAACAGTTCCTCTTGTATGTATAGTTCCTACTCCTGTGAGTATAGTTCTGTCTGGGAATAAATATTTGCACATGAGGAAGCTTCCACAGAATTGGTCATGTAGATTAGCAACATTATGGGTCGGAGGTTGTTTCTTATTTGCTCTGTAATGTGTCAGGCATATTTACAGCATTATAGATATTAAATACTCAATAGTATACTGAAGTATATGAATCTACATGAAGTTTAATGCACAGTCAAATTCTTATATGCTCTGCATATTAGTTTCAAACCTGTCGTCCTTATCACATTATCTTAAGTAAAATTATTCCTAAGATTATGGAGTGCAGGACTGAGGCTGTTTTATACAACTGCTACCAATATACTGATACTATGAGTGCCTACACATACATTGAAGCTGCTTCAGTGCACTGGAATTACAATGCATTGGAGCAGACTCAATTAATCGAGTCTGCTGGAGCATGGTAATTGCCATGCTCTAGCAGACTCCAGCATCACATGTCAGTACCTGTATGCTGAAAAAAGGCTGCAGGGGTGCTTTAACTAAAGCTTGTCAAACTAAAGTTCATTCAATGAGCTTAAGTTAAAGTGTCCCTGCTGCCATTTTTCAGGGCAGGGACACTGATACACATGATGCTCTGGGCGCGTTAATCAGAGTGGCTCCTGGAGCTGTTCTATTTAAAGAGCCCATTGCACCTCCCAGAGCATGTGTAGAAATGCCTCATTTGTCTAGCAGAGTCAGCAGTTGTGGAAGTCTCCAAAGCTTGCAGAATTACATTGATGCTTTCACATTCAGCAATTAGAAAATACAAAGATGGGGTATAAGTACTGGTCACCTGTGTGTGTGACTGGATGTATACATTTCTAAAATATTTCTGCACTTACAAGGTTAAACCTAAAACTTACAAGGTTAAAATATTTAAAGAAGCTAAGCAGCCTGACTCATAGCATGAGCATGTCTGGCTTATTTAACATTTTAATCATTTTAATTCTTGACTTAGGTCAATATTTCCTGAAGTCTTCAGCTTGCTCTGATTCCCCTGGTGTTTCATATACTGAATGCAAAGAATGCTTCTCACTCAGGTTACTGCGTAACTGCTGTTCCCCCTCCCCCCATATCTTACATTTATTAAGCAAATATAGTGTTTCATGGAAATGTTATTTACATAAATAACTTTAGAAGTAAAAGTTATAACAAATTGGTAATTTATTGGTGTTCTTGAAGTGCTGCATATTCAGGAGTTTCAAATTCTATCACATAAAAGGACTAATCTGCCAGGACCCTTCAGCATTGAAAGGAACAGTTACACCATATATCAACAATACCTTCTTACTAGTAAACAACACATAGATTTTCCAAATTTTGGAGAAGATAATTTTTGTTAGCTAAATTTAGTAAATCATATGTGTTTTTATTAGAAATTGGATAAGACTTATGAATTACACGCATTAAGAGTAAGGCTATTATACGTCATAAATCCTGGAACATCTTATTTATTTTTTAAAATAGGTATTCATAATTCAGCTTTTGAAGCTCATTGAAATTTTTTGCAATGTTCTCATATATGAAATAACTTTATAATCCATTCTATAAAGTATATTAAAATGTATTATAATCTAAAAGCTTAATATTTTTACAAACTTGAAACTCAATTTAAATTACATACCTTTAAATATATAAGGTGAAACAATGCCTCCTGTACATGAACTTACATGTCGAAAAAAACCTAAAATATTCTCTTGCGTTAACAGGGATGATCTTGTACTATTTATAATGTTCTAAATTTGACCTGTGAACACATGCTTGCGGCTGAAAAAGACCTGTCAGTATCATGGACAACATTTAATACCATCTGCAATAGTTTACAACCAAGTACAGAAAGCAGAAATGGTTAGCAATCATTGAGTTAAGGCAAAACAACCAAACTGCTATGC